ATTTATTTATTTATTTTTTTACAAGTATGAAGGTAAATGCATAAAAATATCTTAAACCAATGAAGACAGACAGTCTTAAAAAAGTTAAACTGAGTATAAAACAGAAAAGCATAGTCTGTTATATTTCTGAATATGTTCAGTGTTTTGAGGATTTAAATATTTAACAGCTAATCTTCAAGACTAGAAATTTTCTACTTTATTACCATAGGTTAAAAAAATCAAACATTACATGGTTGTGCAGAATTATTATGCATGGATAGGTTGACTTGTTGCGAAATACAAAGTTAGAATTTATAGGCTGACAGAGCCTAAAATTGGGAGAACCTAAAATGTATATACTTGTTTAAAAAACTCCAAGAGATACAGTCAAAAATCTTTGCATTACTTTTTTATGTACAGACTCTTGGTTAGTGAGGGTTAAAGATTTCTGATGCCAAAATACAAAAGCATAACTCTCATTTATTAATCAAATTATTAACCCAAATATTGTGCAATTAGTACACCCAACTTTTTAAAAAATGGCTAAATAAATAGATTTTCCAAGTATAAATCCTACAGGTTGCACAATATGTAGCAGCAGAGGACAAAAATGGTTTTCTGTCAATCTGCTGATAGAGTACAATTTGCCAGAATGAGGGCAGCTGACATCTTGACAGACTAACAGCCATGGGGTCTAATTCACCTAAACACTGCTGAGAAAATGTGCAATAGCACATGGTCTAATTATAGCATGCCAATGAGAAAAGAGTCCAACAATAAACATGCTTCATAGAAGCAAGCATGTTTCTAGACCCATAAGGCGGCGTTATAGGGGCGCAAATGCATTTACAGTCTACATCTACAGATACAAGCGCATCAAAATGAACAGTTAAACTCTTTGGAGATTTAAGAAACAACACACTTTCACTTTACAATTGATTATTGGGTATGTTTTGTTACTTTATTTCTTTGTCTGTTAAACATGGAACAGAATCCCTAATTACATTTTCTCAAAATGGACAGCTTCACCAAGACCTCATTCATGACCTCAGCCTGAAACATTTTTCCAGACAGGAAACTTGTGAAAGATGAATCCCAGTTTTAAGTGAATTTGTGACATTTTGAATGGTGTAGTGTTAAAAAAGGTCACTCTGGTGGGATAATGATCTCCATTTATTGGAAATTAGGTGGGATTATATCTGGAGTTTATGTTGACACAACCCTGTCCTTGTTGCCGCAAAATAACCCTGTTTGTCACTCACAACTCACAAATATGTTCTTTCAGGAAATTTGACCTCGAATGTCAAAGTGCAATATTGTTACAGATACAAGTTTTAACAAATATTTCAGTTCTTTTAAACTGATCTCATTATAGTATATATTTAGCTTTTTTATTTATTCATTGTTTAATTAAAAAAGACTTACTAGTAGTTCTTATTTTTTTCTGTTGTTCATCACTGGGATATCAAATTTACTCAAAC